GCGTTATCATTATTATTATAACAGATACTTAGGTTTTTGGTTAAAACTTGAATCTACTGTATAATATCAGTCAATGTATTTATAATTTTGATTGACTGTGTCTGGTATTTTTAAATTACTACTACTATTACCACCACCACCACCACCATTTTGGCAATCAAAACATCTTGCTTGTGGATGAAACACACTTCAGGGGTCCCCATTGTCACCATGGCTTTGGGAACAAAACTACGGAATTTCACACAGTATTATCAGCAGTTGCAGATTTCAGAAATAACACCATCAGAGCTACAAAAACCAGCAAGATCAGGAACAGGATAAATACTGTGCTGATATTTAGCAGATTAAAAAAAAAGTAACATGTTCTGGCTATATGCTGGCCCATAATGCTTTAAGTACTCTCTGGGCGGTTTACAAATTAATTATTTAAGCTACACATCACACACACACACACACACACACCCTGAGCTGTGTACTCATTTTACTGACCTGGGAAGGATGGACGGCTCAAAGTGAACCAGTGCCAGCTACCTGGGATTGAACCCCAGGTCATGAGCACAGTTTTGGCTGCAGTACAGCAGTTTAACCACCGTGCCACAAAGCTTACATAAGATACTGTACTGTACTTAGATTTTTGGTAAAAACTTGCATCTGTTATACAATACCAAGTCAATGTTTTTATAATTTTGATTTACTGTGCTTGGTATTTTTGAAAGAGAAGGACGAGATGTCATTAAATGAATTCTGGTTAATGGTGACTCTTTCCAGGGTTTTCTAGGTATACAGTACTTAGAAGTGGTTTATAATTTCTTTCTTCTGGGAGAACCCTGGGACTGTGCAGCTTCCCCAAGCCTATACAGGTTGGGCTGGCTTTTCTCTAAGGATACACAATATGGAATCAAACTCCCAACTTTGGTTTTGCAGCCAGATATTTAACTCTCTGAGCTATCCAGTGAGTTGATGTGTTAGTAACTACTGCAAAAAGCAAAACTACATGGACAGAACAAGTTTTCAGTGAAACCAGAACTTGTCAGTAACCACTGAGTTACACAACTGTCTTGGACTCAATACTAATTATATAGGCCTGAATCCAGTTGTTACTCCCACCAAAAGCAGACTGACCAGTTCAGTGACATTTACCTAAATGCCACCTCACTACCCAGCAATCCAAGTATATCTGCCAGTTCCCTGCATATATTTTACTTGCAATTACCAAATGGATTGTGATTATAGATAAAATATTTTAAAAGAGTGAATGCTAGTAAATCATGAGAAAAATCCCTTTTATTTGATGAATATATTTCTAAAGAAAGGGACAAGTGCTTGCTAAATCAGATAATATTCAAACAGATTTTTGTGCTACATGTACTGAGATACACCTACAAGCGCCTATATTTCACTAACCTGGAGCAAGGTCCTTCTCCCAGGCTGCCTTGGGCCTACTTTGTGTACAGAAAAGAAACTGCCCTGGCATTCCTATGTCTTTACAGGGAGATAGTTCTTAGAGGACGCCCTCCATAGAGTCTAATGGGTAGCAAAGCTATCCATCTCATAAAGAATTTAGGTCTTCCAGGAAGCACCAGGGACTGGGGCTGGCAGCAGTGACTTTGAACAATAACGGCTCCCCTACAACCTTGAGGCCCACAAAGGTTTCCCCAGGTCAAATGGGATCTCTAGGGAGCCTTGAAATCTGAGGAGAGGAAAATAAGAAACTTTTAATCAAAGATAAAATTCTGCAGTTGATGACATCATCAGCCTTATGTGCATGGAACTGCACCAACAAGATTCTGGCCATTTCCCCCCCAAGGAGTAGCCAATTCCCATGTACATTTTTTTCACATATTGAAAACAGCCAGGGCAAAAAATATCCTAACAAATCTATTAATTTTTGCCATTGGGGGAGCCAAACTCTCACATTGTTTTGAGTATATCATACTGTAGAATGGCAGATGTGATGTAGCCTGGTTTTCAGTAAGTTGGACCAATTTGGGATGAACATGAAAGTTCTCAGTGGGGTAAAGAAATAAAGGAAGTACACATTCAACTCTGATCCTAATTTTATTACCAACCTTACTGTTAACTCTGAATACAGTACACCAGAATTCTAACTGAGAACAGAAAAAATATCATAACTTACTCTATACAGGTTTTTTTTTACCATGGTGCACAAGATTAACCTAAACTTTTATTTAAAATCATCATCACTTTGACAACAAGACATGAATGGAAACTTAAGAGGTGCCATGCCAAAATCAGTAACCATTTATGCTTTCTTACTATTATGCTCAACTTGATTTCATTCTAAAAATGATCATTTCTTCACATATTTCTTATAATTTCTTGATGCACTATTGTGGTAGGTTAAGTGGAAATGGAATACACATTTTGAAAATAATTATGCAAATTATAATTTTAACCTTGTATTTAATAAACAGAACCATCCATTAATTTTATATTATTTAACTCCTATGACTTTTGTTAATATTCAGAAGTTACCTACTAGTTCTTTGCCTTGCTGAATCCAACTTACCTTCCTCCTTCTTATATCTACATTATAGCCACTGATACAGCTGTACTGCTTTGATAGAACCTGCAAGTCACCTTATGCAGACAAACATTTCCTGTTGGACAAGTAGTAGCCTGCTAAGTGAGCCACTTAAGTCACTTTGTCACACATACCTACATGGGTGCTGTCTGGTAAATTTCCTATGTAGATCAGCAAGGCTGTATTAGTATATGCAACCCCCAACAGACTTGAACATTAGTTCAATTTGTTACAACATATGTACCAACATATCTACTGTGTTTCCCTGAAATAAGACAGGGTCTTTTTGCTCCAAAAAAACACACTAGGGCTTATTTTCAGGGGATGTTTTATTTTTTTCCTGTACAACTATCTACATTTATTTAAATACAGCCATGTCATCTTCTTCTGGTTGCTGCACAATGCTGCACAATGATGGAGGGCGGGGTTTCACTTAATTGGGGCTTATTTTTGGGGTAGGGCTTATATCATGAGCATCCTGAAAAATCATACTAGGGCTTATTTTCAGGTTAGGTCTTTTTTCAGAGAAACAGGGTATTTGCAATTTGGTTGGCTTTGGAAACTGCAGAAATTAGATATACTGGATGTAGCTGTGGCAAACCAGCCTAATTTCACATATATACTGATGAAGTTTTGAACTGGCAGTCATTGAGCAGGAAAGGAATTCTGTTTTTGTGGGAAACAACTTAATAGAAATGTTAGCTCAGGCTGTAACTGCTGTGGAAAAAGCAAATTCCAGCTTAGGGATCAGCAGAAAAGGAATCCCAGGGCAGGGGCGCTGATATGATGATGTCTGAAGGTTTGGAATACTGAGCACAGCTCTTGTCACCATACTCCAAAACAGGTATCAAAACCAGCTAGAAAGCAATCAAGGATATGGAGCAACTCTCCTACAAGGAAAGACTAATGGCTGGAGATTTTTATATTAGTGGAAAAAAGAGAATAGAGAGAAACATGACAGAGATATGTAAAATCATGCATGGTATGGAAGATCCCATTAGTAGTGATGCAACATCAATTCCTGATTTTTTATAGCCCATTCCACCTCACCATAGCTCCCAAAAGCTTTCTCAGGTGGCTAACAAAGGATGAAACAAATTTATGGAGGGTAAGGCTATCATGGTTACTATCCACAACAGCCACACATTGCTGTCATGTTAGAGAAATAATGTATTTGAATACCACTTATTGTTTGTAGACTTCACTTAGCCATCTGGTTGGCCACCTTGGGAAGAGCTCTCACATTTTTATGTTCTAAAACATTAGTGATTAAAACCTAATAAGGATTGGGTTTGGCCTTTGTGATGATTAGCTATTCATAAGACACAACAACAACAACAACAACAACAACAACAACAACAACAACAACAACAACAACAACAAACTACCAGGAAGCAGTGCTTTCATTAAAAATGCAACCTACAT